GAATGGCAACAGTTTTAATGCCTGTTATATGGAGGTAGAAGCTAGGACGAATAATTTTGTACACGTGAAAAATTTTGGTTAATCAACTGCTTGACCTAAGCTGACTTGGCTGATGGTTCAGTGTGAATTTAACATTCAGTTCAAACGCTGTGTGCTCAAGCCGAAGCAATGGCTATTACGCAGTCACAGCGAAACGTTACAAAATGCTCACTGGATTGAATGAAGAACCAGTTACAGTCCAGACCGATATGGACGAATTATCACTGTGAACGGTAACAGATTTTTGTCATGTGTAACAGAGAAGGAGGACTTGCGCTCATGTCGCATTCATAACGAGGACAAGCCGGGTAACGGATAAAATGCGATGTGTACGGTCATACGGAAAGGTGATGTGATAGGTTGGGTCTGGGTCGCTCTGCGTAATCGGCGATACACTAAATGGGTCCTGTGAGATGTATAACACCCATAGGAACTTCAGGAGTAGCGGTAATATTTCAATACCCCGTTAGTCAACGAACAAATAACTATTTTAACTGCAAGAAGACGAAGACCCACCAGAAAAACTAGACAGTGAAGACAATGAGCATTTCTATGCTGCCGCTGACCCCCATGAAACAGAGGTCTAAACGACCGCACCTTGGAAATCTGTACGTTTGTATGTTTTACTTTTGCATATAGCCTTTACCTCAAAAAATTAATCTATGACAATGGATTGCTTGGAGAGCATTTCGAAACGTTTACAGACAACTGGGAACGGAATTTGTTGACCGGGCGATAAATCAATTAGTATATCGCTCAACAACTTATCACTCAATGCTCGTTCACAGAGAAAAAACATGGCAGAATATTAAGACAGTTTGGAAAGTTATCCGAAGAAACAAGGATTATGAGAAAAAGTAGCATAACAACAGAAATAGAATCGCGGACATGAATGAAAGATTGAAGAGAAAACAAACGAATACAGAAATGGTTGAAATATACAGATAAAGAAGAAAAAGCAGAGGAAGGCGAGTTGAAAGAAAAGAAAAGGAAACAGAAAGAAACTCAAGAAAACAAAACAAAAGTTATACATGAAAAAAACATGCAACAAAAAAGAAAGTGCAGAGAAGCAGGAAGAAGAAGAAGAAAGAAGGGGCTAGATGATACTCTTTGTCTGAAGTTGATATGTCTCTAAGAAAACAGCAGAGAGCAATTTCGATAGGAAAGCATACGAAAAATCGCCATGCCACATTTAATGCCAAATGATGAAATAATAATGATTAAAATTCTTCAGATCAGTAGAGCAAAATGGCTGCAGACGAGGAAGCCAAAGTTGCGAACAACTGCTCATAACTGATTAAATTGTTACCAGAAGGCAGACGGCAATATCGCTGTTCTGATGGCCCACTTCAAATTCAACACAGCGACCGTGACTGTGCCTTGGAAGAAACCGTAAAAATCTGGATCAGAAGGTGTATTTTCAGGGAAACAGCCTCGGTCCTCTTTGGTTCTGCTTAGTATTAAACCCGCTTAGTACGCTATCAAGCTAATCAAGATACGACAGTGCAATCGAGTAAAGGAACAATATGAAGCTGTCCCACTTCATCGACATGGATGACCTGACAATGTAGACCAAAAGTATGAAAGAATTGGATGGTATGTTCGAGCTGGCATATAACTTTAGCGGATCAATCAGAACTGAATTCGGTTTAGTAAAATTGCAGTTTTGCATGGTAAACATAGAAAGTCGTCGCAGTAAGAAAACCTGCAGCTGGTTGATGAAATAGAAATAGAAATTCAAGAACTAAGGCCGCAAGATATAAATATATATAACTTAACGAACTTCTACGGATCATTTAAGCACGTGAAAGAAAATGCCATATCGATGTGCAACAAGTGCTTCATGCTGGTCACAGCGTTCTTCCATAAATAACATCAAAGCTGTCAAGAGCTGAGCTATATCAGGGCTAGCTTATACATTTGCAATCCTGAAAGAGTCTTAGACTCCGGTTGAAGATCTTAATCAAAAGCTTAGGACTACATTAACGGAATTCTGCAGGTATTATCAGAGATCACCTGTAGCCAAGTTATTTCTACTAAGCAGGAAGAACGACCGCGGCATGCCAAATGTTGTCGATACCTGCAAGGAAGAGAAGACCCTTTGAGCATGCATTCTGACAAAGGAAGTCTTAAAGTAAAACCATTACCGAAGCAGAAAAGAATGTAAGCTGTGCGAATGCGATCATCTGGTGGAAAAAAGAGGCGTAATATGCGGACACGATGAATGGAGTAAGTAAGGTCATCACGAACGCTATGATGCTACCCACAAGCATGAAAAAATTGACTTGAAATATTCACTTGCTCGGTTTCGAAAGAGAGAACTGTTCTCAGAATCAGAAGGATTTGCAATACAAGATCAGATAGTGTTTAAGAATAAATATCTCAAGTCCGTTATGAAGAAAAACATTTGGGATAAACGTAAAAGGGCGACT